CCCCCCGACCCCCCCCCCACCCCCTCGGGCCCTGCATGTCCCATGTCGGAGAGCCCCGCCTCGCCGCTAAACCTCTCCCGCTTCCTTCCGCCTCTGCTCGTCTCCCTCGACCCCGAGGCACCGCTCACGCCCCCCTGCCGCGAGCAGGTCGGCGAGCTCTCCGGCCAAAAGGACTCGATCCAGTCCGACCGCGAGCTCAAGGGCAAAATCTCGAGCCTGATCCAGGAGCTGCGGAGACACGTGGGGCAGCACATCTCGTCGTCGCAGAGCATCACCGACGGGCTCCGCCGGATCCTCACGCCACACCAAGTGGTGAGGGCGGCTCGCCTCCCCCCTCCCCCCCCCAGCGCCGCCCCTCACAATCACTTCCCGACTTGCGCTCGCAGGCCAAGTTTCTGGTGTGGGTAGAGCGGAACCAGCGCTCGATGGACATGCTCAACACGATGTTCTCGGAGGACGTCGAGTGACCACGTGCATCCCTTTGCCACGCTGCGCGTGCACACTATGCCGCCGCTGGTCGCCAAGGGCACGGGACGCCCGCAGGGCTGATGGTGCGCTTTAGGACTCGTGCCCCTCGCGCTCTTCTCTCGGACGGGATGAACGACCCTCCAGCTTCGCCGGATGATCGCGTGCATGTAATGTATGCAGTATGGACAGCAGCTCAGCAGCTAGTGTGGTACTTACGGGCTCTGTCTCCGTCTGGTCGTGGGTAATGTGGCTCTTTGCGCACGCCGCACAAGGAGCGTCGTCCGTCGATTTCACATTACCCACGTCCCACGACCATTCGCGTCCCGTGCTCCTCTCGCGCGGTACATTGTCCGGCCCTCTGTCGCTCTGGCACACCGATACAATTTTCAAATGACAGTAGTCAGTACCCCCACAAAATGTCAGACTCGCGGGCTCGTGTCCAGTCCGCCCGACCGCCCCCGTGAGCATGCGCGCGGTGAGCCGGGGGCGAGCGCAAGAGTTCCTTGGCACGCGTGCCGCCCGATGCGCGCGCCCGCCGGAGGTGCCTGGGCGTCCACTCTGCACGCGCCCCCCCTCTGTGTGCGGAGATGGAACACAAAACGCGGGAGGACGCGACCGGCTCTCGCGCGCGTAAATACGTACGATCGGACGTGCGCGGGCGCCTCACTTGCTTCCGGCCCGCGCCTCGACGGCGGCGAGGATCTGACCGCCGAGCGCCTTGGCGAGCTTGGGCGAGACGGCGTTGCCGACCTGGCGGTAGCGCGAGTAGATGCTGCCGGAGAAGCGGTACCAGTCGGGGAAGCCTTGGATGCGCGCGTTCTCGCGGATCGAGAGGATGCGGTCCTCGTCGGGGTGGATGATGGGGCGGTTGTGCGGCTCGGGCCTGGTCCCAGAGAGGGGCAGGGCGGGGGAGGGAGGAGGGAGGTTAGGCCCGGCGAGGGCGCGCTCGAGGAGGCGGGAGGGAGAGTCGCGCCGGCAGACGACGGTGGGCACGATGTCGCTCCACGCGAGCCGCCCGAAGCAGGCGTTGGGCCGGCGGTAGGAGCGCGCGTACTCGGGCACGAGCGGCTTGCCCGAAGAGGTGAGTCCGTCGTCGGGCAAGTCGCGCCTACGCTCGCGCGCCTCCGCGGTGAGGGGCGCGGCGCGCGTGCGAGCCCTCGGGCCCCGCGGCCTCGTGCGCCAGCATCCGTGCAGCTTGACCGCCGCTTTTGGGACGGCGGAGACGCGCTCCTGGTCGTCCTCGTTGAGCACCTGGAGTGAGGGCCCACACGGCTGAGGCTGCGCAGCATGCTTTGCCGCGCGTCGCACTCCTGCGCCTCGCGGAAGCAGCAGAGCTGGTGGAAACACCGAGGCTGTGGGTACGGCTTGGAGTACTGCGCAGTGCAGCCGAGGGGCGTCGTCTCGAGTGGCGGAGTGAGGACAGGGAGGTGTCTGCAGCATCTGAGTACAGGGAGGTGTCTGCAGCATCTAGGGCTAAGCACGAACGACTCGTGGTCGTGCAGCTCCTTGCCCGTGCAGCGCTCGCGCGCGGCGCGCTGGTAGTCGCTAAGCGGCTGCACCGGCTTGCCGGAGCTGCTCTTGCCGCCGTAGGTGGCGGCGCGGAAGGGCGTCGCCTTGGTCTCCTTGGGCGCGCGGTTGGGGTTGTCCTTGTTGGAGCCGAAGCCGCGGGCCGGAGGGCTCTTGAGCGACGGCAGGTCCGAGAAGGCGTCCGCGAGAGTGAGGGGCTTGGCCAGGGTGGCCGACTCCGCCGCAGAGGGCACGTTGAGCAGGTGCTTCTTCATCCAAGTCGTCATCATCGAGATTGGGACGGGCGGCAGCTGGTGGGTCGGCGCCGGGTACTCCGGCAGCGCCTCCTCGCCGCGCGCGGCAAAGAGGATGGTGCGCGCGCGGTTCTGCGGCAGCCCAAAGGTGCCCGAGACGCAGACGCCGATGCGGACCTGGTAGCCGCCCTGCATGAAGGAGCGCATCGACGTCTTGATGACGAGGCTGTCGGCAAACATGAGGATGCCCACCACGTTCTCCATGATGACGAAGCGCGGCTGCTGCAGCAGGCACATCTCGGTGAAGTGGATCGTCTGCCGGTTCTTCGAGTCGCCGAGCGGGTCCTCGTGGCGGTACAGGTTGAAGCCAGAGACGCCCTGGCACGGAGGGCCGCCCATGACAACGTCCACGTTCTCGGGGAGCGGCAGCGCGCCGCGGTTGGCCTGCACGTACGCCTGGACGAGTGCGTCCGCCACCTCCTCGTCGCGCACCCACCGCTCGGCGCCGCCCGGGGAGCGGCAGAGGTACTCGATGCGGTGGTCCACCCCGCGCACGTCGACGACCTCCTGCGCGCCCTTCGCGGCGGCGGCCGCCTTGCCGCCCTTCTTCTTGGGCGCGAAGCTGCCGTCGGCCATGGCGGCCCACTTGGAGCAGACGCGCAGGAAGACCTCGACGTCGAGGTGGAAGACGTTGCAGTCGGGGTGGTTGTCGCGGTACGTCTCCACCTCCTCCTTTGACCACTCGCAGCACCAGCGCGTCTTGAGGCGCGCACCGCCGGCGCACTCGGCCTCCTCCACGAAGGAGAGGCCGCCGCTCGCCGAGTAGAGCTCCAGCACGTTGAGCGCCTGCGTCGGGCAAGGACAGAGGCAAGGGGCCGTGAAGACGGCATATCACACACGACATGCCTCGACGGCGCCAGGGATTGGTTTGTGTGGATGCCGTGGCCATGCGGCTGGAAGACGGCGTCTCTTCAAGCCCGCACGGCGGCCTCGATGCGGATCCCGCATCTGGGGCTGCGCACACCTCGCCGGACGCCGACGCCGGCTGGTCGCGCTTCGCCGCGCTCTGCGCCGCGCTGCGCTTGCGCGAGGGCGGCGGGGCAAGCTTGGTGTAGGACGCCCACTTGGGCGAGTACCGCCACTCTCCCGTGTGCAGGCCCGACGCGGCGCCGTCCACGGGCGCCTTGAGCTCGTGGAGCGGCAGCTCCTGCGGGCAGCTGTCGGGGATCAGGACCCCCTCCTTGAGCGCGCCGTCGAGCACCCCGCCGGCAAAGGTCTCCGCCGGACGCCACAGCCGGCGGACGCGGCACATCTTTGCGCCGCCCACCGCCCACAGCGCCTCCACCTCGACGAGCTGCAAGTCCTTGGACGTGTGGTCGGCCGCGAAAGGCTGCAACGACGCCCACCCGCCGACGCTGATCCGCTTGCCGTCCACCTCCGCCGCCTCGTGCACCACCCGCCCCTCCTCGCGCGTGCCCTCGCCCACCCAGCGGGTCTTTGCCGCCGCGCTCCGCACCGTCGACAGGTCGGCGGCAGGCGCGGCGCGGCGGCGAGGCGCCACCGCCTTGAGGTGGCCCGTCGGCGCGAAGAGGTCGTCGAGCGCCTGGCGGGCGCAGGGGCGCGGCTGGGCGGGGCAGGCGTCGGGCAGAGGCATGGCCAGGGACGGGGGAGGGGGTCGGTGGCAGCAGTGGCAGTGAGAGAGCGTCTCGGCGGTGTCTTCGGTCAGCCCTCTTGCACGCGGGCGCGGCGGGGGGGAGGGGGGGGGGGGGGGGTGGGAACCTCTCGGAGGCGTCTTCACGCGCCTGGCACTGCGTCACGCGCACGTCGGAGCGGGTGGCGCCCGCGTCGAAGGAGACGAGCTGGTGGAGGATGAACTTGTGGTGCTGGACGAGGTACTCCTCGTCAAAGGAGAGGGGCGTGCCATCGCCGTCGCCGTCGCCGTCGTCGCGCGCCACCGCCGCGAGGAGCTCCTCCTTGCCGAGGGCCGGGCTCCGCTCGACGGCGCGCACCAGCCGCTTGCACACCTCGACCTTCTCCTGCACGGGCGCGAAGAAGGGGGCGTACTGCGCGGAGGGGGTGGTGAGCTCGTACTGGCCCGCCTCGGTGACGAGGAATACGGACGGGCGCGGGAAGACGAGTGCGTCGTGCTGCGAGTAGCCCGAGATGGTGTAGCACGAGCAGGCGCCCAGCCCCTTGACGTACACGCCGTCGCTCTCCTCGTGGTCCTCCTGGACGTGCCGCCGGACGCGTCAGCGCTCGCGCACGGACTTGCCGCGGCCGTGTGCGGAGGTTGCGACGGCGCGAGCGGAGTGGGGGAGGCGGCGGGGCCGACGGAGCGGCGGGTGGAGCCAGGGGCGCAAGCCCAGAGCTGCTCTCGCTCCTGCTCGTCGAGCGAGTCCCAGTTGGCGCCTACACGCGCGACCGATGGCGGCTTCCTCACCGCAGCCCGGTCTCACCCCTCGTCGGGCGGGCGCGGCGGTTCGCGCCGACGAAACCCGTCGCGTAGATCTTGGAGCCGACGCGCTCGTCGAGCACCTCGAGGCGGCAGAGCTGGCCGCTCGCGTCGTGCAGGCTGAAGTCGTGCAGCTGCCGCAGAGGCAGCTGGCGCGGCGGCGGCGCAGAGCCCGCCCCCTCTCCCTCCCCGGCCTCCTCCGCGGCGGCGTCGCCGGCGCCGGTCCCCGCCTCCGCGGGCGCGCTAGCCTCCTCGCTCCCCTCGCCCGACGCCTCCTCGCCCGCCGTCGGCCGGCCGGTCACCTACGGCATGAACTACGGCATGAGCTACGGCATGAACCCGCCGCCGTCAGACGGCGAGAGTACTCGCATCGTGCAGCAGTGCCAGTCGGCCGGCGACCTCGAGCGCGGCACTCTCGCTGAGCGAGGTGGTCGCTGCAGGTGTGTGTGTGTGTGTGTGTGTGTGTGTGTGTGTGTGTGTGTGTGTGTGTGTGTGTGTGTGTGTGTGTGTGTGTGTGTGTGTGTGTGTGTGTGTGTGTGTGTGTGTGTGTGTCTAGCGCGGCACCTCGAGCGCGGCACTCTCGCTGAGTGCCGACAGGTGCGAGTCCACCTGCGGTGAAAGAGCGGCGTGCGGTTGAGGAGCGGCGTGGGGTGTGCGGGCGGGCGCAGCTGCAGCGGCGGCGTGGCGGCGCGGCGTCCGGCTCTGGTGCGGCAGGAAGCGAGGCGTTGCGGGAAGCGAGGCGTTGCGCCTGCACCGCCACCGAGGCTGCGAGCTGGTCGCGTGTCACCGAGAGGTAGGGCGGCTCCTGCGCGGCGATCTCGACGGAGAGCTGCCCCTCCGACATGGCGCGCCGCCGCGCTGCCGCCTCCTTCTCCTCCGACTGCGGGCAGGGCGGGCAGGGCGGGCGGTGGCGGGCTGTGACGGGCGGTGGCGGGCGGTTGGCGGCGTCAGGCGGCGGCAGCGCGGGGGGAGCGGCCGGGTGCAGAAACGAGGGGGTGGGGGTGGGGACGGCGTCGGCCGAGTGTGTGCGCTGGCCCACGGCGCTGGCGTCGGGGGGCAAGCCGACGGCGAGGCGGTGAGGTCGAGGCGGGGCGGGAGGGAGACGGGGAAGGGGCTGCCGCCTCGTTCATCTGCTGCAGCTCGCGCTCGACGACGCTCTCTCGCTTCTCGATGAAGCCGCGGCGCTCGTTGCGCTCGGCCTCGCACACGTCGAGGCCCAGATCCTTGGCGGCCTGTGCGGGCGGCGGGCGGCGGGCGGCGGGCGTCGGCATAGCCGGCGAGAGCGGAGTGGAGGCGAGGCTTTCTCGCCGCCTTTTGCTTGGCGCGGAGGTTGCGGATCGCCTTGGGCTCGTCCATGCCGGTCGCCTCGAGGGCGGCTGCGAGGGCGGGGCGGGGCGGACGGGGTGCGACGCAGGCGCGGGCGGACGGACGGACCGGCGATACATATTCACCGAGGATGAGCCACGCCGGCGTGTCCTCAAACGACTGGAAGATCTTCGGAAAGACGGCGCGGAGCGTGTCGAGGTCGACGGTGGTGTCGGCCATGGGCGCCTGCAGAGAGGTTGGGTGGTGGCGTGGTGAGGGCGGCCCAACAGCGAGAGTTAGAGAGCGGTAAACGTGCTCGCGGCGTGCCTTCAGCGGGCTCATGCCGTTGCCCAAGCGCGAATCGGAGAGAATTTGGCGCCTGGAGACCCGTGTTATGGCCCTGCGAACGCGCACCCCCCCACGGTCGAGGAAGAGGGTGCGTTCTGCAGTTAAGGGGTAACCCGGTACACGGAACTATCCCTCCGAGACGTGTTATGGCCCTGCGAACGCGCACCCCCGGGGCTAGGGCTCTCTGGCCCGTAACCCGATCCCGATCATCCGGCCCGCTGGGTGCGCTTCTCAGCTCCCCGGCCCTGGATGTGAGGCTGCACTCCAAGTGCTCCAAGTGCTCCAAAGTGCCTGCGCGAGTGAGTGTGGAGTGGTGGTGTGACGTGTGAGGCGTGCAGGGTGGTGTTCATTAGCTCCGAGTAGAGGGGGCGTCCTGCAGTTAAGGGGAAACCCGGTACGCGGGGCCAACCCTCGGAGACCCGTGTTTACTTTACGGCCCTTTCCCTGCGAACGCGCACCCCCGGGGCTAGGGCTCTCTTGCCCGCAACCCGATGCCAATCATCCGGCCCGCTGGGTGCGCTTCTGAGCTCCCCGGCCCTGGATGTGCGGTTGCTGACTGCACTCCAAGTGCCGCTCCAAGTGGCTCGCATCGGAGAGAATTTTACAAGCAAGCTCCCTCCACAACACTGGACCACGGGACTGGCTCGCATCGGAGAGAAACCACGCATGCACGCCTCGCTAGCACACCGACCGACGCTCCCGACTCCCGTGTATGTAGGAAGTTCGTAGGTTCCCTTGAATGTCTTGTGAGTTTGTGTGTCTGTGTGTCGCTCGCGCGTGTCGTCGTCTTCTTTCTGTCTCGCCTCCACCCATACCGCGTTTGGTGTGTGTCCAGCCCGAGCCAGGCTGTTCTTCGCCTATCTTCGAGCGCAGCGGAGTGGGCCCCGAGTTTGAAAAAGGCAGGGACGCTTGCGTCCTCGCCTCCAACAACGCCAGAGATACGAAGAGGCAGACTCCCCAGGGTGGGCGACGGCTAGCGCATCACACTCTCCTCTCCTTAAAATCCCTGTGTGGTGGCGGCGTGCCGTTCTCCCATCCCTCCCTTGGGTTGTATGTTTTCTTTCTTTCTTTCTTTCCAACAACGCCTCCCCGGCACAGAGGGGCCCCCGGAGGGATGCTCAACCGCTCCACGCCACGCCGCTTGCGGCGGTCCTATTCCCAGTCGCGCCACTTCTTAGTATTTTGACCGCAGCGAATATGTTCACACCTTGAGCGGAGGCCAATTGATTCGCGAGACTCCGGCAAAAAGGGGGTTGGCAACGGGCTTTTGCGGACGCAAGCCTTCAGCTGGTGCCAAACGTACCAAAACGTCCGTCCCGTCGACCAAATACGCGGTCGGTAGAAATGGCTTGCTTGCAAGAATGGGATGCCGACAGGCGTCAGGCGGCGCATGCCGAGAAGTCGCTTGCCGTGCGGGAGCTCGTGCGCCTCTCCCTGCGCGTGCAGTCCACGGGCGTCGTCGCGGAGCTTCATCTCGACACGGCACTGGTTGCTCCGAGCGGCAGCGGAGCTGATCACGAGCGACGAATTCGCCGGGGATGCCAGGCAACAGATGGGCGCGCAGATAATTGGCGTGGCGTCCTAAACAACGCGACCGACGAGCATGCTCAACTGCTGCGCGACGCTCTCTGCGACCCCGACTTTTGTATGCGCTTTGCCATTCGCCGCCGCATTGGCTCAGGGGGCACAGTCCGCTTGCAGTGGCTCTAGCTCACAAGACACACAGCCAGCGGGCTGCCACACATCCGCTGAGTGGGCGTACACATCACTCAGGCCACGTCCCCCCTGTCGCCCCCCCCAGCACTCCAAGGTGCCAAGAGACAAACAACAGCACAACAACACAGACAGGCGACAGGGGCGAACGTGTGAGACTAGAGCAGGCTTGCTCCGCCTCTAGCAATCTCGTCGCCGGCCGCAAGGCACGGACGAGACCGTGTGTGGGGTCTTGTGAGGTGTCTATGGACGCCCTCCTCACAGGCTATTGGCCAGCCGCTAGCCCTAACTCGCACTCATGGGTGACGACAGTTCATTGGATGAGTGGTTGCGAGCAGAGGCGCGTGTGCTGAATCTAGATCGCACGCCGTGGCATATGACTTGGGTAGGCGTGCGACCGCAGCGCGCCCGCCGAAGGCTCGACCGGGCGCGCGTGTCAGCCAGAACTTTGCCAGTAGAGCGATCCTGGTCTTTCCGAAGACGAGCCCCGCGCCACAGGTGCCAGCCGTGCCTCCGCGGGAGCCGCCTCTCGAGCCGCGTCCCGCCGGCACTGTCCCTGAGTGCGTCCCGCCTTGGTTGGCGACACGCACTCGACGAGGGCAGTCCAGCCGACGGGAACGTGTCGCGCGCCGGCGACGAATGCGGCGGGGTGGGTGTGGGTACCGAGCGCCGCTTCGACGAAGCGAGGTTGGCAGGCGCCCCTCACGAGTCCGTTCAGACATGCCACACGCCCCTCGCAAGCGAGGTTAGTAGGCGCCCCTGGCGAGACCCGCAAGAGATGCCCCACCCCCCTCGTACCTATACTCCACCAATGAGAAGGTGAAGAGATCTTATCGGCCAGCGGGCAGGGCAGGCGGGCGGGCGGGCGGGCGGGGTCGGGGGAGACTATTCCTAGCGGGGTATCCCCTCCCGACCCACCTTCCGAACGGCCTACACCCTATCCAGGCTCCGAACATAGTTGGTTTACGGGTCAGTCGGGGGACCCACTAGGGGGCGGCCCCTCACACGACTGCCCAGTGGGCCCAGGGATGGCGGTGGCGAGTCACTCCGGAGCAGAATAGAGGTGCGCACGAGGCAGGTGGCATAGCACTGCCCACCCCCTTCCACCCCCCCTCGCCCTTCGCAGCCTCTCCCCCCTTCCCCTTCCCACTGCGCTCTGTTGGTTCCTCTGTCCATCTACAGCGTGGGTGGTGGTACACTGCACTGAGTCGAGACAGCTCCGCCACGCCGCCCGCGCCTTCGTCCGCCCCTGGAATACTTACAAATACCCGAAGCGGAATACAATACGCAATTACTTAATTACTTAATTATTTAGGTCAGGACGTGGAATACAATACGCGAGGTCAACTCATATTACTTGAACTCATATCAGGAGCTCGGCAGCAGCGCCGACAGCGGCCCCGCGCCGCGTCGGCGGCGGTCTGAGCGAGGCAGCCTGTACTCCTCAACCTCCTTGGCACTCCCCCGACGAGCGGCGCGCTATGCGGGCCCGCCGCGGGCGACGCGGGCGGCGAGCCGACGTGCGTGCCGCAGTCATAGGCAGCGCTGGCGAAGCGAGGAGGTCGCCGCAGGCCCCCGGATGCGGTCGCAGCGAGAGAAGCGAGACAGCAGATGCTGTCGGAAGGGTGAGGAGCAGCCTGCCGTCGAGCGGCGCGCCGCACAAGCCCGCCGTCGGCGGCCCGGTTCGAGAGCAGGTAGTCGTGGTAGTATTGAGCGCGCAATCGCGCCCGAGCCGGCCCGCCCTGGCCCTGTAGACCCTCCCAGAAAGTTGGCGATGCTGTTACCGGGTTTCCCCTTAACTGCATGCAGAACGCCCCCTCTACTCGGAGCTAACGGACACACAACACTGTACTCCACGTACGTACACGGGTACGCCTCATGTGCGCCCGCCCGACTCCGGTCCCAGAGTCCCTTCCTTCGCCTGTCGGGGCGCAGCCCGCGCGTACTTTTTTCGTTTACCCACACTCTGCAATACCGGCCGTCCGAACGTTGAGGACAGAGTACCCGCCATGTATATGGGCGCCAGTCAGCTGGAGGTGGACAACGCGGACCTCCGCTTCGTCTGCTCGCAGCAGTCGGAGCGGGTGCGCCTCCTCGAGGCGGAGCTGGCGCACGTGCATTCGGCGCTCGAGGAGACCATGGCGGGCAGCGGCACCATCCTCCCCGCCGCGCACAAGTCGCCGCTCGTCGGCCAGCAGGAGCACATGCAGGCGTACGCGCCGGTGGCGCCCCGCGAGCCTCCACCGCCGCTCGCCGACGAGGCGGCCGGCAGCTGCTACTCGGCCGACGCTCAGCTCGCGCTCGTGGCGCGCCAGCTGCGGGCTGCGCGCGCCGAGGTGGCCGAGGCGCGGGCGCGGGCACGCGAGGCGGAGGAGGGGCGAGGCGGCGGCGGCGGCGGCGGGGACGCGTCGGCGCGCGACGACGCCTTTGGCTGCGGCGGCGGCGACGGCGCCCTCGAGCAGCTGCGCCACCAAGTGGACTTTCTCAACGCGCGGTGCGTCTCGCTCGAGGCGCAGCTGAGAGAGCACCGCAATCCGCCGGGGTGGGAGAAGAAGCAGGCGGAGCTGCGCGCCTCCAAGCGGGACGCGGCGGCCCTCTCCGAGCGCCTGGTCCGCGACGCCTCCCCTCCCGGCCGGCCGCGCCCCACGTCCTCTCCTCGACGCACGCCTCCTCTCGACGCCCCCTCCTCCGCTCCTCTCCCGCAGGTGCGGGCCGAGCAGGAGCGCGACGACCTCCGGCGGCGCCTCCACGCCTCGGCCACGTCGCGCGCGCAGGAGCGCGATGGGCCGCGCCGCGCCGCCGGGCGAGCGGAGAGGGGCCGCGCAGAGAGGGGCGCGAGCGAGGCTTCGCTCGCAGAGGAGCTGACCGAGGCGCGCCGCGAAGGCGAGAGGATGGAGCAGCTGCTGGAGGCGGAGCGCGCGGCGACGGCGGCGCTGCGCGCGCGCGCCGGGGAGAGCAAGGCGCAGGGGGACGAGGTGGCGGCGTGCCGCGCGCTGCTGCTCGAGACAGAGGCGCGCCCTCGCTGCGAGCCTCCCCTGTCCAACCAGCTCGTGCCTGCCCCGCCTCGCCTCCACCCACCCCACCCGTCCCTCTCGTGCACGCGTCGCATGCACGCCCCTCGCCTCCCACCCGCCCCACCCGCCCCTCCCTCCCCACCCCTGCGCCCGCCCCTCCCTCCCCACCCCTGCCCGGCCCTCCCCGCCGCACCAGGCGCGCCTCGCGGCCGAGCGGGAGGCGGCGCGGGAGGCGCGCGCAGAGGCGGCGCGCCTCGAGCGGTGCGTGCAAGAGGCGCGCGCAGAGGCGGCCGCGGCCGCGGCGGCGGCTGCCGACGAGCGGCGCGAGGCGGTGGGCCGTGTGGAGTCGGACTTGGCGGCGGCGAAGCGCGACATGGACCGAGCGCGCGAGCGCGCGGAGGCGCGGTCTGCCGAGCTGGCCGCGGCGCGCGACTCGCTCCGGTGGTGGACGGGCGCTCCCAGTGACGCGAGCCCGTGACGCCGCTGCTGGCGTCTCCCTTAGGCTCGCGAAGAGCTCGCCGGCGCGCGCGTCGAGGTTTGCGCGGCGAGGCGGCAGGCGGACCAGGCGGAGGAGGCTGCGCGTGCGGCGGGGCGGCGGGGCGACGAGCCTCCGAGCCCCTGCCCTGGGCCTGCCCTGCCCCTGCCCTGAGCCTTCCTCGACGCCGTCGTGTACAGGCGACGAGCTCGAGGCGCGGCTCAAGAGCTGCGAGGGCAGCCTTGCCAGCGCGCGCCGCCTCGTGGAAGGAGAGCAGGCGTCGCTGCAGCTCGCGAAGCAGCAGGCGAGAGCACCCGGGAGCACCCGGGAGCACCCGCTGCAGCTCACCCGCTGCAGCTCGCCAAGCAACAAGCGTCTCCACCGCAGACCTGTCTACGCGCCCAGCCACCTCCCCCTTCCCCCGCCCCGCCCCGCCCCGCCCTCCACGCCCCTCCTCCACGCCCCTCCACGCCCGCCTTGCCCTCCCCGCGGCGTGCTGCAGGAGCTCGGCAAGCAGCAAGAGGTGGAGCGGCTAAAGGCTCTCGTGCAGCGGTGCTCGCCGCCGGCCGCGAGCCAGCCAGCCGCGAGGGGGAGAGCCGGCTGACGCTGGGCGGTCCCGCGCCGCAGGCTCGATGCGGGGCGCGAGGAGCTGGCGACGCGTCTCAAGGAGTCGGCCGGGCTCGTCCGGGCGGAGCGGGGGCAGGCGGAGGCGCAGGCGGCGGCGCGGCTGGCGGCGGAGCAGGCGCTCCTCGAGAAGGATGCTGCGGTGGCGCAGCTGCGCCAGACGGTCGCCATGCTCGACGAGGAACGGTCCGCGCCGCCTCGGCTCGCCCCTCGCACCCGCCGCGCCCCGCCGCGCCCGCACGCCCGCCCGCGCCCGCCCGCACGGACCCGCCACCACGCGCTCGCCGCTCCCGCCCGGCGCGCAGGGACGCGCTCGTCGCCGAGGTCGACGAGAAGGCGGAGGAGCTGCACGCGCTCGGCGCAAAGCTCGGCCGCGCCTCCGAGGCGGCGGCGGCTGCCGAGCAGCTCCTCCGGCCAGCTCTCGACCGGGCTGTGGCCGAGTCGGAGCAGCGCGGCAAGCAGCTCTCCCAGGCGGCCGCGGAGCGGGACGCGCTGATCGCGCAGCTGGGCGAGTCGCAGGGCCTCGCGGGCAGGCTGCGCGACGAGGCGCGCACGCGCGAGGCCGCGCTCGCGGCGACGTCGGAGGACTTGCGCCAGATGATTCGCGAGAACCAGCTCGTCAACGACGAGTCGCAGAGCTCGGCGGCGGCGGCGGCGCAGATGCGGCGCGAGCTCGACGAGGCGCGCGAGAACAGCGTCTTCCTGCAGCAGGTCGTGCAGGCCTTCGAGGCGGAGAAGGAGGAGCTCCTCGAGGCGTACACCCGGCTGGGCGAGGAGGCGAGCGCGGCGCAGAGCTCCTCGCACGCGCTCGAGGCCGAGTGCGACACGCTGCGCAAGTACGCGCACGGGGTGGAGCAGGCGCTCAAGGCGGCGACGGAGCACGCCATCGCGCAGGAGAACGCGGTGGCGATGGCGCTGAGCGCCGGCTTGACAGAGTCGCACCTCTCGCGCGCCCTGCTGCACGACAACACAAACGGGGTGCGCGCATCTCCACCCCACGCCCTGCCCTTCCCTCCGCCCCTGTGCCTGATCAACGAGGTGACTGTCTGCAGGTTGAGTCGTTGCCTGCTCCTGAACCAAAGGCCGTGGCCGTCTAGCGATTCACCGCACGCTGTCGGGATCCTCTGCTCGTGTGTTTCTCGGCCACCCTCCCCCCGCCGAGTTGGGTGGGACACATCCATCTCGTGTGTTTCGGCCACATGGACCGACAGGATGCACATGTGAAAACCGGTAGACATAGGTCCAAAAGTGGGGTTTGCCTCAAGTGCCCGCACACACACCAGATTAAAAAATTACACAATTTGCCGTTCAGCCCAATGTAAAACATACAGTCCAGCCCCTTGGAGTGCGAAGGCTTCGTAGCCCTCCGGTCTACTGAAGACCCGGAGGCTGGAGCGAAAAAAAGCTAAAACGGAGCGAGAGTGCAAACAGCAGTCAGTGTCAGAGCGCGGCCGGCCAGGAGTCTCCTCAATCGATCAACCAGCGAGAAAAGGCGACTGTCTTGCCCCACGAGATCACCTCGTGCATCCACTGATGAGGGATGTACAAAGAGTCCCCCGGTTGCAGCGTCGTGATGTAGGGCGACGTGTTCCACAACTGCGCGCAACGCAGGTCAGGACTCATAGACTTGTGCTAGGGAGTGAAAGGGACGTAGGACAAATGCGTTCGCACGGGCGAGCATCTATGCGCCTTGCCAACGGGTGGTCCTCCTGATGCTCCGGCCGGAGGTCACGAAACATATAGAGCGAGCTCTCAAAGTGGTGGCCCCGGTCAGTTCGCATGTACAGGAACTCGGTGTCCATTAGCGGAAAGAGCACGATGTCCTTCGTGCCGACGACCTGGGTGAGGAAGCCGCCGCTGTTCTGGTCCCAGTGCAGGCCACTGTCAACGTACTCGGCGTTCGAGGCCCAGAGGCAGGAGCGCGTGCTTTTCGACGTGTAGGGCAGACCGCCGTCCTCCCTCAGGAATGAGGGCAACGGTTCGATATCCTTTAGCAGCTGCTCCTGCGAGGAGATGTCAAACAAGCCGGTGAAGCGGTGTTCGTGTGGCGGAGCGGCCTTGTCACCAAAGATGAGGTCAGGGTCGCCAGTCCGCTTAACGTTCGTGCCGCGCATGTAGGGTGTTGGCGAGATGTGCACCACCGGACTCAGCATCTCCACCTCGGACAGCAGGTAGCCCGTCTGCTTCCACTTCTCCAGGGCGGGCCACGCGGCTGCCGCGCCCTCAATGATGATAGGCTCGAAGCCGTCGCCCGCCATGTTCCAGTCAAAGAGCTCGTCCGACCACGCCTGCACCCGGCGGACGCTCGTGGCGTTGATCCCAGCGTTCCGAAAGATCTCCGCAAAGGTCAGCCGCGGCGGGTCCTCCTCCGGGACATCGCACGAAGTGCAGGCCCCGCAGCCTGACCAAGTGCACATCTCCTCCCAGCCGTGCGTCTTCTTAGTGCAAAAGTTCCTGCACTGAGGTTCGTCGGCGGGCACTCTGGAAGGGTTGAGCCTGGGGGCGGCAGGTTGTGGTGGCGGCTGCGCTGGCGGCGGCGGAGCGGACCGAGAGGGCGGCATGCTGTGCATCGTCGGCTCTGTGCTGCTGCAATTTGACGCGAGCTGACTTGGAAGGTTGCGCAACGAAGGCCCCCAAATCGTGAGCCCACTGCCCACAAGTCCGGCGACTATTACTGCCACGACAGAGCTGAGCGGCTGGCCCGCCTTGCTGGCGACAGGAAGCTTTGCGCCTGCGGGCGGGGATTTGGGTGTGCCCTCGTCGTCCGTGCAAGCAGACCCTCCGGACGAGCCCTTCTTTCTGCGACCTGCCGCCATTGGAGTACGCGTGTGCTGTCCGCGTGTGGTCCTCTGCTGTCGAGCCGAGGACGTGCGACGCTATTAGAATCCTACTACGGGCAAATTCTACCGATTTGAAAGGGAGATTACCATTGCGAATAGGGACGTTTACCAACGGCCCGAAGCGTAGCGCACACGCCCGCGGCAGTAATCGTCCCTGATTATTACTTGTGTGTGTGTCTTTAGCTAGCTTCTCTCTCTCTAGCGTAGTTTCCCTTGTTGTCGTACTTTTATTTAGCTTAATAGGGATTCCATGTTGTGAGGTTACAGGTGAGTTAAGCGGGAGATTCGCGCGAGCTGCGAATTCCTAGGAGAAAGGGAGAGTGCGGTGTGTTCTCTATATCTACAAGTGGGTTCCGCGGGCCGCCGTTTCTACAAGCCCTTTCACACACCTCACCCACCCCACGCCTCGACCCCACGCCGTGGTTTCTTAGCTCCGGCCGGCACTCAGGTCAGACAAAGGGACAGAGCCGGCCTAAAATAAGCGCTACAGTCTGTTGCGGGCATTAAGAAAGCGTCCCATTAAGAAACCCTACCAAGCAATTTCCGCGAAAATCTAAGAAACCACGGCGCGCCGCAGGCGCGGCCCCAAGAAAGGGCCCACACACGAGTGTGAACAGGAGCCCCGCTCAAATTTTCTCTTCGCCTGCGGCGCGCGCACTTGTCATTTTGCCCAAGTCTGCGCACTGCGGTGTTCTGGGCGGTGTGGATGGAGGTGTGTGCGTCTTCCTGTCATCCCAAGACTGCTGACTGGCGCATCGGTCCAGCGCTTCCTTATTGTCATTTTACCTAAAAATTCCTGTTTTCCCACCCTTCACGGCGACTTCACGTCGGAACGAGTCGGATCGACGACTCCCCGCCTGCACCAGCGTGTGCGCCTTGCAATTCTATACAGAATCGACACGTGGTACGTCTTCTCAATCGCTCGTGGAGAGGAGCTACGGCCATTCCTAAGTAGTGTTCAACGACGTTGAACAATGTTCAACGTCGTTGAACACGGTCCAGTAACCGTAAATAAATAAATACAACGGACACGCCAAACGAGGGGTGGGAGAAGGACAGGGTCCCCACCTGCACAAGCAGGATCTTGTAGGACGATCAGGGACACAGGGGAACGGGAGCGGGGAGCGCATCGCGACACGGAGGGGGGCTGGGCAGGGGGTTCACCCTCACGACAGGAATCCCATCTCTCGTATAGGACAGGTTGCACCCGGCGGCACGGGGGCAAGCGCGGGCCTCCTACTGGTTGCGCTCTCCTAGTTCTCCTGCTCCTGACAAGGGACAGCGACAGGCTCGCAGCACGGTGGACTCCCTATCTTCCTATCTACTCGAGCAAAACACGCGGGCGAATACTTTTGGCCCTCGCCAAGAGTGCCGGCGCTGGACAGCGCCCTGCACACGACTGCCAGCGAGCGCAGGTGGCAGCTCTCTATCTACCCATTGAGTCGATCCCCCGTCCGCCCTCACGCAGCTTGTGCTCACCAGGCATGAAATTCGTGACGGCGCACGAGGACCTCATCGTGCGTGTGCCCCGCCGCCTCGCGCATCTCTTGGTGCCCCACACAGGACGCCCACGTATCCCAACGCTGTTCTCCCCCCCGCAGCACGACGTGCAGCTCGACTTTTACGGCAAGCGCCTCGCCACGTGCTCCTCGGACCGCCTCATCAAGGTTTGCCCGGGCCGCACACGGAGCCGCCCAGCAGCCTCTTTGCTCTCCCTTGTTGGTTTTACTCGCACGCCAGAACCGCACATCGCCGCGGACGGCCTCACCCTTCGGGACATTCTCCAGGTGTACGAGGCGGACGACCAGCAGCAGCAGCAGCCGGCGGAGCTGATCGGACACAACGGTGTGCACACTCTGATCCCTTGCGCCGGCGCAGCTGTCGCTCCCGAGAGGCTGTTTGGTGTGGATAGGTCCGGTGTGGCAGGTCGCGTGGGCGCACCCGAAGTTTGGAAACATCCTGGCGTCGTGCTCGTATGACCGGCAGGTGCTTCCGCCTCCGCCCACGATTTGGCCTGAGAGACCGCACCCTGAGACTGCCCCCGCCCCCCCGCCCTCCCCGAACAGGTCATCGTGTGGAAGGAGCTCGCGCAGGCCCACTGGGTCCAAATCTACCAGTACCGCGGCCACGACGGCTCTGTCAACTCGATCTCATGGCGCGCCATACCCCTCCCTTTTCCAAGCCCCTCGTGCCACCCCCCTCTTGCTAAGCCGCTCTTGCCAAGCCGCTCCCAAAGCCCCCCCCCCCCCCCCTCGCCCCAAGCCCACCTGCTCCTCCCCAGGTGCCCTCCCGAGCTCGGCCTCTGCCTTGCCTGCGCGTCGTCCGACGAGAGCACGCCGCGAGTAGATGGAGAGAGGCGCAGAGAGCAGCTGCACGCCCCACTCGAGCAGACGCCACGCGGCTGTCACCACTCGCACGCGCGGACTAGGGACCGCCCTCGTAGCCCGCGCCTTGTCGCGACAGTCCGAGCCCGCCTCCCGCTCCTGTCCTCGCGGCGCAGGCATCAGCGTCCTCTCCTTCACAGGGGAGGACGGCTGGGACGTGGCCAAGTTCAAGGCTCACAAGACTGGCGCCGGCAGTCTAGATGCCCGACCACACACCGGTGCTCTCGAGAGGACGCGTCCTCGGCTGTGTGCGGCACCGCACACAAGTCTGCAGTCGCGCCCTGACTTGCGGCTCCCTCCCTTGACTTGCGGTTCCCTCCCTCTGAGCGCCACAGGCGTCAACACTGTCTCGTGGGCACCGTTCAGGCGCCACACACACCGCTCCCCTCCCCGCCGCCGCCTCCCCCCTCTCTCTCCCTCCCCCCCTTCT